GCATCTTCCCCCGCTTACCATCTTACCCCGAATCACTCTATGCGTTGCAGTCAAACCAGTTTTTAGTTAGGATGCGTTTTAACTAGTTAAAACTAGTTTATACTGGATGTCTTTGTTAAAACCCGTTCTGTCTACTTAAAACTAGAATTTACTGCTAGTCAAAAATGAATTTGAGTTAAAACTAGTTTCAACTAGACAAAACGGGTTTTAACAAAGACATTCAGTAAAAACTAGTTTCAACTAGTTAAAACGCGTTCTAACTAAAAACGGGTTTTGACTGTAACATATACATATTAATAAAAATACCTTAACATTTTATGTATTTTGTATATAAAATAATAACAGATAAACAAAAAGAAAATATGCAATCTATATCAACATTACAGCAGAATTTGATTTTGCATTTTCTCACTTTTCATTCATGTGTTATTTGTAGCATGTGTTTCACATTTCTGTTAGAAATAAATATCCTAAAGCTAACAATGCTTATGCTGAAGGAACAATATGAACTTGTATGTGAANTATGCAATCTATATCAACATTACAGCAGAATTTGATTTTGCATTTTCTCACTTTTCATTCATGTGTTATTTGTAGCATGTGTTTCACATTTCTGTTAGAAATAAATATCCTAAAGCTAACAATGCTTATGCTGAAGGAACAATATGAACTTGTATGTGAATTTGAATGTAATAAAACTTCACAGCTGAATTTGCAAAACAAGAAAACCTTCCAAGAACAACATTGGTGGGAATTCTGAAGAAAAAAAGGAAATTAAGAAACTTTTTCTTGGGTCTTTGACACAGCTGTCTTGATAATGCCAGAGAAAGTTACTGTACAAAGATGTGGAAGATGCTCTGGTACATTGGCTAAAGCAGATTCATTAATTTAATTGAATCTTTCTGTTTCGGGGGCAATACTGAAACAAAAAGCGACTGAAATCGCTGAGGTACTTGGAGTAGAATTCAACTTTAGTGCCAATGATGGATGGTCAAAGACTATAAAGCACTACTGTATTTTCCTAATTGTAGTTTTGTGGTTTTTTTCAACTTTGTTTTAGTCATCATATTGGATAACTCAACACATTTCCACTTTCCATTGGGGTGTAGACTTATGTAGACTCAACTGTATATATATTTCAGTATTAAAAATTAATCTCTGTTTCAAGTTGTTATTTGCTATTCACATTTATAGTCACTTAACTTTAAAATATAAGTTTATTATATTATTTCTCATAAAATATTCAATTCTNAACTGATTGCCCCTGGAAGTCGGCTTCTTATAGAAACACAGCTTCCCTATCAACAAATGTACGGCACGCCTCTGTATTATAAGATTTATTAAATTGAATATTTTATTGTTGAAATGCTTTGAATCTCAAATAAATTGTTATTAAGTAAGGTTTTAAATCGAAATAATTAGATATGTTTTTGAATTAAATGTTCAAAATAAATTTCGTGAGACCTCTTCTGAGGAACAAGGGGGCGCACCGATTCGACTTGCTTCAGGACGCTGAATGTTACTACGCTACTGCTCGTGGCCAAATCCAGAAATGGATTTTACAAAGGTCTCTAGTGTCTGGAGGGAAGATAGAGTAAGTCAACTTACAATGGAAAAGTGTTATCTTAGTGTTCACAGAGCGAAAAGAGTCAAAACTAATAAAATTCTCAAAAATTATAAAATATTCGAGAATATTAAATAGCAACCTGATTTCTTCGTTTCTCTTTCAACAGTTGTAAGTTGAGATTAAATCGACTAGCCTAATAAATACATATATAATAAATTGAAGGGCTTATCATATCAGAGAATAACTTGAATGACTAAATTTTTTTTAAACATAGCCTATAATTAGTTAGAATCAAATTTTAGAATGCTTTTCGGGTACCAAGACCCTTCATCAGCCTACATACATCCGATTCGATATAAACACAAATATGAGGTTAGCCGATTGGGGTGAGGAGTTTTCGACAGCCGAGCGGTCAATACTGTCGTGTGGGAGCAGAATGACTCACCGAGACAGGTTTACCATATAAAACTGTTTAATAAAATATATAAATTGATCTTACAATAGTTCAATATATCAGGCGAAAGCCTATCCAACGATGGGTTACTATAACCGTTCAAAAAAAAAAAAAAAAAAAAACGGTAAAGTTCGACTGTTCGATCGGTCCTTGGGTATTTTCGGTACGCTGGACGCAGAGAACGCTGGACGCACAGCACTTGTAGAGATGAGCGGTCAAGGTGGCAGCCTACCGCTCTGGGGAACCCGGGTTCGAATCCGAACGGGTCGAAAAATCCCCAGGAATTTTTCGGGGGGTGGTCCGTTCGGATATGTCGGGCCTTGTCCCTCACCACCCGGCAGCTCCATTGTGGGCCTGGCCGAACCCTTAATGGGCTTGCAAAAAGAGGCCTTCTTAGTGCCCACAGGGCGGAAAGAGTTAAAAAACTTGTAGAGATGTCCTCGGTTCTGGACGTGACGAACCGAGTTTGCGAAACCAGCTCCTAGGGCGTCGAAAGAGCCTATGTTGTATCTCTATCGTGAGCACCAAATCCCAGCAGGGGAGCACTACGCACCAAAACCCAAGACCTCGTAAAATTCCCGAAAACGCGGTTTTATCGATTTTTCCACCACAGTCGCTTTTCCATTGGTCTCTCCTCGTCACCATGGTGACAATTCGAAACCCAACGAAGGGCGCGGGAGAGGTCAACCTCGCGTCTGAACAAGATTCTTCTCCAACCTCGTTTTCCTCGACTTTATCTATTGTTTAAAATCTTTTAACAAGACAAAAGGTTCATTGTTTAAATCCGATCTTTAAGTTTGCTCTTTCGCGCTACGAAACTTGACTCATTCAAAAAGTCGTTAATTGCCTCCCTTCGGATCCCGTTTGGGTCCTCACACGAAATTATCAAAACCATCACAACACAAATAGCAATTCCATACTATAAATTCTTTCGTGTAAAATTCCTTCGTGAACTATTTACACAATATAAAACCAATACATTAGAATATACTAAAAAATTAAATAAATAGTAAACAATAAAATTTTCACTGAGTTGTATTCTATCCGGAAATTGTAAATTCCATTCACTTTTTCTCTTTTCAAATTCAGATAATTAACATTATTTATTACAAATTAGTGTTCCATTAAATATTTTACATTAAGAAAAGTATGTCCAACTCGCGTCAGGATGATAAAGGGACCTATTATTGTATATGGGTTTTTTAAAACTTTAGAGAGCCTCATTTAACAAGCCCATTATGGGTTCGGCTAGGCCACCAATGGTGTAGCCGGGTGGTGAGAGACGGGCCCGACATATTCGGAAGAATGACTTCCCGAAAAATTCCTGAGAACTTTTCGACCCGTCCGGATTTGATTCCGGGTCCCCCAGAGGGGCCACCTTGATCGCTCCGGCTATCCGGCCATGTATATTAAAAAAAATGTTATTTTCTTTGCTTTCATTCACCGAACGTGTAAGATTTTTTTACTTTTATTAATTAATTTTGATATATTTATATGCTTTGTATATAATTAAATATACAGTAATTTATTTAAATTGCATATAATTATCTGGTATGAGATTAAAAAGTTTTTCTTAAAACTTAAATAATTAGTATTGAAATCACATTATATAAAATATATTTTATAATATATTGCAAAAAGTATTTTAAAAATTGAAACAAGCAAGTTTTATATATAAGACATTAATCTGTAAAAGAAAAATATATATAAAATAATAATAATGATGATGCCAAAGACAACCACTAGGGGATCTTAGCTCTAGCAAAGTATTTCTTTAAAATTGAATTTACAAAATTTATTTATAGTTTAGCATCAGCTTGTTAAAAAAAATATAAATTTTATTTATTAAAATGCATAAAAATTATTCATTAAGTTAAATTTAATAACATTGTATTCACTATATATTATCTATAGGTAAGAATAATAAAATTTTTGTATGATTACGTTGTAAACATTTAAAAATTTAAATATCTATAGGAAATTTAGTTTGTTGTATTCCAATTCAAAACATTTTGCATGTTATAGCTTTACTAAACCGAAAACAGATTTGTTAGAATGTTTTATGTGATTAATGTTTAAAATAATTATTTAAATGTCAATTTCTGTTCTGCTCATCATCATTTTACACAGCTGTATATTATATTTTAGTGAAAAGATAATATGAACATATATATAAATATATTTACCTGAGTATATATTGATTACATTTATATAAGTTGTGTAAAATAAACATATTCAAGTACAGAAGTTTAAAATTAATTTTGATCATCATGATTATTTTTAAACTTCTCAACATAATAGAAGGAATAGTTAGCATATAGAAGTATAACTGGACAACATCATACAAGAAAGAAGCTAATTGTCAATTGCAAATTATTCTAGCTGTGTAAGTTAGGTAATCAATAATGAAATGTACTATATTCAGCAGATTGAAGCTAAATCTGCAATGTCTGATGCTACAGTCAACATTGAATCAACTTGCATGTAATGTATTAGCCTTATCTGAATCTGCAAAATAGAACTATTCTGCTATGCAATGTGGCTGTCTCCACACAATTTGTATCTTCTATTTTAAATTATATATAAAAGTGGTGAGAAAAGATTAAATTCATTTATTTTTATCAGTTCTTGAAGTTAATTGATGGTGCAACTGGCCCTTCAAAATAAGCAGTCAAATTATCAAGAAAACATTTCAAGACCAAAAAAGTTATAGAAATATCATGATACAACAACATTTTTAAGATGTTTTATTCAAACCTTTCTTTACAGAAAACCAGCAAACACTGGTAGCTGGTCTCAGGTTTGTGTCTGACAAATAGACTAGCTGTTTGTATTTTTTGTGGTTTTTTTTTTCACACATTAAAGCTTAAATAGGAATTCAGTTTTCCATAAAGTCTTCCCAGGAGGCACCTCTTGTTAGATCATCCTTATATTATATTGCATTATCCCTTCAACCAAACCATCTGTACAATTTATTTTTCAGAAAAATTTGAGTTAAAAAAATTGTTGTTTGAATTATTTGACATTGAAAAGCAAAACTATTTGCATTATGATTTAAGTAGTTTTATAAAAATTAGTAATAAATAATTGTCTTGGTTAATTTAGATGGAATTCTGAATTTAATGAGTATTATTTCTATTAAGGAGACTTATTCATCATCTATTATCTTTCTTTTGTAAATAGGACTATAGGGATAACTAGTTCTCATAAAATGTCTTTTGTCTATATAAAGAAAATACTTACAAGAAAGTGATCATCCATTAAAAAGCTAGATGTCAAATTCAATTTTACCTGATAGATATAATTTTTAGTTAAAATGAAGTTTTAATAAGCAATCTGGTTTATGGATTTAAGTCTGGATTAACATACCACCATCAGATAGTCAATCTGGAACTGCATTGTAATACATAATTTATTGCTTTCTATAGGAATTGATTAGTCCAAAACAACACATGCTTTGTCAAATATTTTATCATAAATTTCCATTTAGCCTTACATGTGTTTTCAAATCATTTAACCTATCCCCTCTTTAGCCATAAAAACTTAATTTTAAAAAAGGGTTATTAAGTCAATTTTCTTGTATTGGATGTTTATGAGATATTTTATGTTGCATATTGACAACTTTTAATTTCGAAATTATTTTATTATTTATTATATTATACTTATTTTATTTTTAACTTATCTTTTCAAAAAACTCTTTGAATTTCAAAATTAGTTAGTTTTGAATCTCTGGTGTTGCGAAAAAAAACTTTTTATATAGTTTAAATTTAATTTTTGAATATGGGTAGTAAAGAAAACATATATGGTGTTACCAGCTCTAATTTTAAAAATTTTGTTTTTAATGTTTGAATAGTTTGTTATATATATATATGTATAAATCTAGGAATCTAGGTTACTAGACACTGTAAGTCAGTTTTCTATGGTCCTGGCTGACTTACATAGGCATTAATGCTAAAAAACTCTGGTTTACTTGATATTGTTTAACTCATCACCAATGGATAAATCAACATACTTTTTCTGTCCCACACTCATTTAGATGTCTGATAAGTTAACTCCCCTCCTGAAAAAAATGAGTTCACACCACACAGTTTACTGTGCAGTGTGAACTCATTTTTTTTCAGGAAGGGAGTCAGTCAACTTATTTATTAATATATATGTTACAGTCAAAACCCGTTTTTAGTTAGAATGCGTTTTAACTAGTTGAAACTAGTTTATACTGAATGTCTTTGTTAAAACCCGTTTTGTCTAGTTGAAACTAGTTTATACTGAATGTCTTTGTTAAAACCCGTTTTGTCTAGTTGAAACTAGTTTATACTGAATGTCTTTGTTAAAACCCGTTTTGTCTAGTTGAAACTAGTTTATACTGAATGTCTTTGTTAAAACCCGTTTTGTCTAGTTGAAACTAGTTTATACTGAATGTCTTTGTTAAAACCCGTTTTGTCTAGTTGAAACTAGTTTATACTGAATGTCTTTGTTAAAACCCGTTTTGTCTAGTTGAAACTAGTTTATACTGAATGTCTTTGTTAAAACCCGTTTTGTCTAGTTGAAACTAGTTTATACTGAATGTCTTTGTTAAAACCCGTTTTGTCTAGTTGAAACTAGTTTATACTGAATGTCTTTGTTAAAACCCGTTTTGTCTAGTTGAAACTAGTTTATACTGAATGTCTTTGTTAAAACCCGTTTTGTCTAGTTGAAACTAGTTTATACTGAATGTCTTTGTTAAAACCCGTTTTGTCTAGTTGAAACTAGTTTATACTGAATGTCTTTGTTAAAACCCGTTTTGTCTAGTTGAAACTAGTTTATACTGAATGTCTTTGTTAAAACCCGTTTTGTCTAGTTGAAACTAGTTTATACTGAATGTCTTTGTTAAAACCCGTTTTGTCTAGTTGAAACTAGTTTATACTGAATGTCTTTGTTAAAACCCGTTTTGTCTAGTTGAAACTAGTTTATACTGAATGTCTTTGTTAAAACCCGTTTTGTCTAGTTGAAACTAGTTTATACTGAATGTCTTTGTTAAAACCCGTTTTGTCTAGTTGAAACTAGTTTATACTGAATGTCTTTGTTAAAACCCGTTTTGTCTAGTTGAAACTAGTTTATACTGAATGTCTTTGTTAAAACCCGTTTTGTCTAGTTGAAACTAGTTTATACTGAATNAGACATTCAGTATAAACTAGTTTCAACTAGACAAAACGGGTTTTAACAAAGACATTCAGTATAAACTAGTTTCAACTAGACAAAACGGGTTTTAACAAAGACATTCAGTATAAACTAGTTTCAACTAGACAAAACGGGTTTTAACAAAGACATTCAGTAAAAACTAGTTTCAACTAGTTAAAACGCGTTCTAACTAAAAACGGGTTTTGACTGTAACATATACATATTAATAAAAATACCTTAACATTTTATGTATTTTGTATATAAAATAATAACAGATAAACAAAAAGAAAATATGCAATCTATATCAACATTACAGCAGAATTTGATTTTGCATTTTCTCACTTTTCATTCATGTGTTATTTGTAGCATGTGTTTCACATTTCTGTTAGAAATAAATATCCTAAAGCTAACAATGCTTATGCTGAAGGAACAATATGAACTTGTATGTGAATTTGAATGTAATAAAACTTCACAGCTGAATTTGCAAAACAAGAAAACCTTCCAAGAACAACATTGGTGGGAATTCTGAAGAAAAAAAGGAAATTAAGAAACTTTTTCTTGGGTCTTTGACACAGCTGTCTTGATAATGCCAGAGAAAGTTACTGTACAAAGATGTGGAAGATGCTCTGGTACATTGGCTAAAGCAGATTCATTAATTTAATTGAATCTTTCTGTTTCGGGGGCAATACTGAAACAAAAAGCGACTGAAATCGCTGAGGTACTTGGAGTAGAATTCAACTTTAGTGCCAATGATGGATGGTCAAAGACTATAAAGCACTACTGTATTTTCCTAATTGTAGTTTTGTGGTTTTTTTCAACTTTGTTTTAGTCATCATATTGGATAACTCAACACATTTCCACTTTCCATTGGGGTGTAGACTTATGTAGACTCAACTGTATATATATTTCAGTATTAAAAATTAATCTCTGTTTCAAGTTGTTATTTGCTATTCACATTTATAGTCACTTAACTTTAAAATATAAGTTTATTATATTATTTCTCATAAAATATTCAATTCTATTAAATGTTTCAAATCAATATTGTAACCTTAAAGATCTTACAAATGTTAATGTAATAAAATTATTATATAGATTTATATTATAAAATAATTTTCTCTCTGTATTATATATGTATATAATTATTTCTTTTTTTACAAAAATTAACTTATGGAACTTAGTTTATAAAAAAAAATTAAAATTAAATATTTTTTTTAAAGCCAAAATATAAATTTTAAAAATTTTATTTTTCAGCATTAAAAGTATATAAATTAGCTAGAGAAACAGAAATTATGTCTAGAGAACCAGTTTATGTAAATGTATACGATATGGTATGTAAATTGTTTTATTATATCATTACAGTAGTATAAAATCAATTTTTCTCTATAAAAATATATCATCAATCAAATATAACATCAAAAATATTTATAAATATATTTATTCTTGATTATTAATTCATTTAATATATACAAATGTTTAAAATTAAAACTTTTTCCTGCTCTAGGTATTATTGAAAAATTTGTGGGTTAACGTTTATCATGAATGGTTCCCTTAAATATGATACATTATGATTATATGCTATGAAAATCTACTCCAAATTTGTCTAAAAAATATTTTGCTGACTTCTAATCATTGTATTTAGTGTATAAAATCAACAGTTAAAATATTTATCTCTTTTAACAGATTTTATAATGTAACAAATACTGTAATTGAAGAAAATTAAACAGCAATCATATCACATAATGTGAAAATATTTTTCAGAATTAGAAAATCATCTGCAGAATTGTTTGACCTATTAAAATAAACTTTGTGGGTCTATGTTTTAGTAAGACTATCATTTGTAACTATTCACCTCTTACAGCAAGTCTGGGTTCTGGTGAAAAAGCTTGTCTTCCATTATGATCAAATCACAAAGGAGTATTTAAGAATGTCAATGAGTAAATCTAGTTGTTTTTCTACAACAAAGTTGCTGTAGTTTTGTAGATCCAATTGGTAGATGTATTCAATATATAAACACAGGGAAGGCTTCATTGAGGTATCACTTGTGGAGGATGTCCAATTTGGCCCTGTCTTGCAGAGTTTCATGGCTAATTTTCTATATTATTTGGCCAGCATTGCCATAAAGTAATAAAGAAAATATGTGAACAAACTGAAATGGATCTTCTGCAAACAAAATGTAAGATAATGCCAATATTTTACTCCCAATTCATCACATAGGATAATATAACACCCCTGCAATGCCTTTTGAAAGCTTTGCAGCTTGGTCTGCAATATATTCCTCTTCCTTGTCTTCTGCTGGAGGTTTTATACCAGATATTGAACTCATCTCTAAAGGCTTAGGAAACACACAAAAGGATTTCTTCTACTGGAGAACATTACTACAGGCAAGATACTACAAAAGTGGCAATAACGAGGCAAAACAGTTTGAGAATTTAATACAGGAATCTAAACACTGGTTGGCTGACAATGAGATTGTAGCTATGAAGGATGATAAATCCAAAAACATGGTCTGTCAAACATTTCACCTACAAACAAAACTTGCAAGAGTATATTGAAAGTACTGAGTGTCAAATTGCACCAACAAATTACTTGAATTCTTTATAACAAAGGGTTAAAAGATTCACCAACACCCATTTAGCAAAGGTCCTCCACATGTGTAATTTGTTCATCTTGGCAGCCAAGGTTCCACACATCTCCGTCTTCACTAAAACATAAGCCTGAAACCCAAATATGGTCAGTTGTTGAAAATGCTCCTTTCCCACATTCTTACTTGAAAAGCAAATTGTCAGGTATTACAACAATGTAACAGTGCATTATCTGTTCACCATTAACAATTTGATACAATTGTTGGACTGTCCTATGTTTTATAGACAGTCCAACAATTGTATCAAATTGTTAATGGTGGATTTGGTTTTATCAAATTGATCAAATTGTTAATGGTGGTTAATTGGTGGATGATGAGTACATGACAGTAATGGACTTTCAGTCTCTCTACCCGTCTATTACTATCTATGTTTCTGTGCTCTTAGAGACTTCCTACTCACCAATGTGGAACATTCCCCCAAATATCACATACACATTCTAGAACTGGCTTGTTTAGTATGTTACACTTCCTTTTTCTCATTTAACACCATTTATGTGCATGGAAGAGATGTCCCCCTGGGGAAGCCCATCTCCAGGATTCTTTGCAAACTTGTCTTTCACCAATTGGAAAAAGATATTCTACCAATATTTCTACATCAAATTGTGGTTTTCACTAGGTATGCCAATGATATTTTTATTTTACAGTACAAAAACCAGACTTGAATCTGTTTTTAAACAAACTCAACATGCTCATTCACATGCTTGTGATATGCATGTGAATATAAATATACAAAAACTCCTGAATACTGTCAAATCTTTAATGAAATTACTTCACTTATTGCAAAATAAGTTGGGTGTACCAATTAAGACCTTGTATACATTAAAATCGAATATGTTGACTGATGAGGGGCTTTATGCCCGAAACGTGCTGTCGTCACGTATCAACTAAAATGATGGAAATAAAGCCAAGTGTTTATTTATAACTCAAATGCGAGTTTGAAGTCCAATGTATTCAAAAAACACGATTTCAAAGACAACATAATTACATCAATATTAATGTGTATTGTGTATATTATAATAATTTCATCCAGTTTTCGTTTATTTTTACACTTAAATTTTTGTTAATACAATTTTTGACTTTCTTTAAATCTTCTATTATACATGTTTTTCTCTTTGTATAGGATTTTTACATTATTTTTATCTATATTACAGTCATTTATTAAACAATGGTCATGAAAAACAGAGTTTAGTCGATTATATTTGAGATCAGCTATATGTTCTTTTACACGTATCTTCACATTTTCGCTTAGTTTCTGCTATATAGTAGTTAGTTGTATTACAGGTGCAAGGTATCTTATACACAACGTTCTTTATTTCTTGTTCATTATTATCTATTTTATTAGATTTTGCCAGTCTTAATCTATTTTCTAATTTTTTGTATTTTGGGGCTAGTTTTGCATTTATTTTCTGTAAGTCTTTGTTAATATTTTCATATAGTCCTTTTATATATGGAAAACTGATGTATTTTGTATCTGTATTTAGCTTTTTTGATTTATTATTATTATTCATTTTACTATTTATCAACTAAAATGATGGAAATAAAGCCAAGTGTTTATTTATAACTCAAATGCGAGTTCAAAGTCCAATGAACTGTGATGTTTATCCAAATAACAGTCTCATCATAAGTTCTAATCATCTTATGTTTTGTTATATTTATTATTGAATATATACTGAATACTGAATATATTTAGACAAATACCCAATACTGAAAATATTTAGACAAATACTATGTGAAATACTGTGGAACAAGGGTTAATCCCTTCTAACCACTTACTCGGCAACAGTCTGCAAGGACCACTTATGTTGTCATTTCGGATAGCTTTTTATTGAGTGGCGACGGAGGAGAGCAAGTCGGCAGGTGTCCTTTCAAAGACAGGAGACAGGTTTAACAAAATAACAGCATTTATTGAATAACTAAGGTTAACAAAGTTGGTTAAATGTGATTAAATATTAGACAAATATACAAAGGGGCAGCTCCTAGCAGCTAAGCCTATTCTCGGAGCAAGAGAGAGAGTTCACAATGCTCTAATAAAAATATTTCTATGAGGAAACGATTGGTATGCTTTGAATGATTCGTAGGAATCATAGTCTGGCGTAGGAACTGTAGTATGGCTATAAGTATGGAAGTTTGAAACCGTGGTCTGTCTTCTACCGATATCTTCTCCTATTGTTTGTTCGAGTCCATTGTATGGAGGTCCAGGAGATGAGATGCACACATTGACAAGTATAACTTCCTTTGGATCGCTCTAAGCTTCTGGGGGCTTGAGCTTTTATTCGATTGTCATGGGAAAGGAGTCACATGATTGTCAAATGCTGACAATAATGGTGCATTCTTGACACCTATATGTCAACTTTCCCATCTAATTGTTATCACAAACGATGACCTCTGATCTAATTCTCACAAGGAGCATTTTTTCTATTGGAGTTGTTCACATTTTTTTTCGACAACTGCATCAGATTTGCGGATTTCACAACTATATTACTTCAGTGATGTTTCTGAAAATGTAAGTTTTGTTAGTAATTATAACAAAAGATTTCGTTGAAGCACAGATGATGATATATCATACAATAATTAAATTTAAATCTTAATTGGCTTGTTGATATTTTTGTATGTCATTAAAAACATAAATTGTAAGAAAATTTCATAAATTGAATTCTTAAGTAATGATGAAAAAATTTGTTCATTTCTAACAATAATACATAAATAAAACAATTAGATCATATTTATTTTTTTCTTTTGCAGTATTGGATTAATGAATTCATGTCACCATTAGGATTGGGAATATTTCATTCTGGAATTGAAGTCTATGGAATTGGTAAATAATTATAAAAATATAATTCAGTATATTATTTTTTTTTTATTGACTTCAGTTTAAAAAAAGCAGTAAGTTTTTTAAATATGTATTATCTTTTTATAAATCAAATTACTATTATCATAAATTTAAAAAAATTTCATTAGCTAATATTATTTTAATGGTAGACAGTTATAGCAATCTCATGTAATCTGATATTTTCAACTACAAAGAAACTTTTACTTTATATTATTAAAAAAACTATTGGATGCTCAAAATAGCTAAGATATATGCTGCTGTTTAGACAGACTTGGTTTGAGTCTGTCAGATAGATTCCCAAATATTCATAGGTAATCTAGTCTAGACTTGTTGAGTCATGTCCCTCACCAAGCCTATCTCATTACAGGTCTGATTTGAACCTATGATTACTTTGTATAAAAGCTTTCTTACTGCTTACAGTGAAGAAAAATATAATCTGATAAAATTTTAACATTCAAAAAAATAAATTAGAAAAAAATTGTTATTTAATATTTTTTAATATTGATCATTATCTATATCAGTTCAATGAGAATCCCATTTTTTGGATAGAAAGTTGATTTTGAGCTCAATTATTTCTTAGTGTGATTTAGTTATTATTACTCAGTAATAGCAGTGGCATGCAACATGTGGCCTGAGAGAAGCACAAAAAGTAAAGTTTGCCATTAATCAACAATATATGATATTTGATCATTTAATGATTGTTTGCAGTTAAGATCTAATCATTGACTTCAGATAGACAGTTGTCATTCTAATCAACAAATACAGTATATGATGCCACAATTTACCATCACCATCCAATGCAATATAACTTCCTTATCTTGTCTAAACAACTATAGTCTTGTTCATTCAATATGTGAGAATTCCAAGATGTCATGGGGAGCAGAATTTCCAACTATGAAATTTGCTACGTCTAAATCATAAACTCAAAAAGCACTAGAAAAGTGATGTTTTTCAACTAAAATTTACCATATGTGTTCTTTAAGTTTAACTAACTGTAATATGTAAAGTTTATCTGATGTAAAAGTTTATTGATAAAGGCCAATATGAAACTCCCCACTTGTATAATCTGTAGAAACATCAGTTGCATTATGGCTTATTAGGTTGTCATGAAAACTCCAAATGTCATCATTTGTTTCTAAGAATGCTTCTTGCCTTATTCTGCTAGGAACTTTTTCATTTTGCTGGGATTTGTATGCTAATATTTTTGAATTTACAACATTCAATGCCTCAGAAGATATAGTCATGAGGCTAAAATGCATAAATTTGAATCTCAGGGCTAACAGTGTAATTTTTTTTTAAATTAGAGATTAGCATGCTTTTTAGATTTTGAGAGGCTTATATTGAAGCCTTTACATTCTGTAATGCAGATTCAATACATCATATTAATGGAATTACCATGCTCACTGTGACTATACTTTCTGATAAGAACTGCTCCATTATAATCAATCTTTTATAAGCATGACAATATTTTCTGACTTGTTCTTTCAAGCAATTTTATGCTTACTCATAACAATTACAAGAACAAAAGGTAATCAAGTAAAAATGCTTCATTATGGTATATAAAGTTTGCAACAGCAGGAGAATTTCACTAATAAAATCAAAGGTCAATTTGCTTATGATTTGCAGTAAGCCATCCAATTTCACTAAAATATTTCCAACACACTGATTTAATTCCATAAAGCTGTATGTGTCAAGATGGTTTGTAACAATTGATGGATACATTTCTCTAAGAAGAACGTAGGAGATCTGGCTTTATTATTGATCACCGGTCTTAAAAATTAAGACTGGTGATCGATAAAGCCAGATTGCCTTTGTTTATGTTAGAGAAACATATCCATCAATTGTTACAAAACCATTTTGACACATACAGCTTTATTGTCTTTGATTCAAATGCACTACTTGCCAAACTTAATTCCATAAATTTCTTCAGCATTAAATATGTAGAATTTCAATGTGTCTTTACTGAAATAATTTTAGTGGTGGATTATCCTGAATAGCTCTGTCTACTATTCTCACAGTTTCTTTTAAAAAAAAATAACAATCAGTTTAATGTGATTTATAACTGATGTTAATTGTACATTTGTTTGATTGATCCAGTTGCAACTAAATTAAGTAAGGAAAATAATGTAAATGCTTGTTTTGTCCAAAAACAACATTACCTTCAAAATATTTGTACTATCATCGGTCTTATAAGCAACTATTTTTTCTTTATCAAGTGTGTACTCTTGCAAGGTAAATACAGCAAAAGTGAGCTGTATAATTACAAAATTAAACTTTGTGGCTCTTGACCATTTCAGCAATGATCTGTTAAAGCTCAAGTAAACCTTTGTATTAAGTATATCAAAAGAAGAACTTTTTCATCATGCTAAAGTGTTTCATGAGATAAATTAGCACTGAGAACACTGTTTTTTTCAATGTTATCCATGTTTAATGATGAAAAGAAATGTTTTGCAAGTACTTTTGACCTTTTTAAGAATGTCTTTATCAGTCAAATGGAAAAAGAACATATGTCAGAATGTCATTATAGATTTTAAATTTTAATGTTAGCTCATTCTAGATGGAACACGATTACGATATTTAAATTTGAACATAATGATGACTTGAACACCTCATAGTCAACTACATAGAATGTAGATAAGCACTACTTTACCATATGAATATATAAATCCTTAACAAAGTAATATATAAAGCAGATCACTACATCTTCAATGTAATTCTGCTCTCATCACTAATCATCACTCAACCATAGAAAAGTTTGGCAGAACTCTTAATGCTTAGAGTGGATACACTTAAAAAACCTTTATCCATACCAAGAAAACTTAGTCAATCTTTGCTTGTATATTATAGGAGATCAATTAAAATATATATGTAATCTTAAAAAACTTTGAAATGATTTTATTTTTTTATAGCATCTCCTTTTTGAAGGTTTTAAAAATTACACATAGATCAAAAATTGATTTAAAATATATTTATCCACTATAATAAATGGTTTAAATTGACAAATTCACAAGATACAAGATTGCACCAAATTTCTAGACTTAGTCAAAATGACAGAAAATGCACTTGTCCAATCACAACCATTGCATGATCAATAACTTTTTTGTCAGATTGCCAGAGTTTTTTTCTACAGCTCATATTTGTATTAAAAGCAGCTGAAAACTTACTAACTTTAAATATAAATTTATATTTTATTTATATTATATTTTATAATAATTTTCTTATATTTTTGTTTATTTTCACTAGTAAAATAAATTTGATAAATTACTGTACATCAATAGTGCTGTGATAATATATCATAATTGTATTATTATCTAATTCAGTGTTCCGCAACCGATGTGCCGCGGCACACTGATGTGCTGTCACATGGTGAAAGGTGTGACGTGAACTTTTACATATTCTGTTAATTTCAAATTTTATTTATATATTTTTATCACACTTGTTGTGTTTTTTATGTATGTATGTTGTTGTGTTTCTTATGTTATCATTTGTATGTATTTCATTCTCTGCCGCAGCACTGATGAAATAAGATGATGTTTGTTTATTCTTTATTACAAGCCACCCATTTTTATGTATTCTAATAAATTATATGTAAAGAAAATTTGCTCACAGGTGTTGGTATCTGTTTAATAACAATAATAATAGGTTAGTGGCATTATGTAATTCTATTAATAGTATCATATCATACGTTTTTGAGGAAAATAACATTTTGGTGTGCCGTGTTGAATCATGGGTGTGCCACAAGTAGAAAAAGGTTGCGGAACACTGATCTAATTCATTGAATAGGTTGTTATCAATAGGAGGAAGTACTGTAGTTGATTATTATACTGTTGATATTACTATTGCACATCACTAAGTTACATTGTTTATTAACTACTAGTAGCCCGGGACGCCCCCTAGTGGGCGTTCCAGCAGCATTACAAATTCCTGAGACATGTTTAATGCACTTAATATATGAAAGTTGTGTGCGCTTAATGTTTAAAAGTTTGATGCAGTTAATATATATAAATGTATACAATTCTTCATCTTAGAAACTAAACTTAAAATATCAATACACAAACAGCCAACAGTATTTGTACATGAGAAAGTGAATCTATTCTTTACTCAAAATTGTTCAAATAAATAGAATTAATATGATTAAAAAATCAAGTATAAATATATACAAATGTTCATGTTAAAAAGTAATGTTAACAGATCAATACACAGCAAATAGTATTTCTGTATTACAGACTGAAGATATTCTTTAGCTGTGTTCTGTATTCCATCATTTATCCCATCATAAAACTTCTGTATACACAACATTGTTGGTAAAAAAAAGTATAATTATTTGGAATCAATTTGCCTTGTTGTGACATTTTGTCTTCTGTGTCGTTTTGCTTCTGCCTGCCTGTGCAACATTGCAGATCTGAGCTCATGAGTTTCATTCTGCAAGCCTCCACGTGTTGATTGTGCTATTCTCTGTAATGTTTCCTGCGCACGTCTCTCCCTTTGTCTCGCAGCAGTGGCAGCTTTACGTTCCCCCACAGTGGCGTATTTCTTTGGTCGTGCCATGAAAGGTTTCTATTATTATATTAAAATATTAGCTTAACTATTTCACTTATCGTTTTATCGTAGCGGTTCAAATCTATCCGGTTTTTCGTTATTCGCCCCCTAGTGAACATTACAGGCATTCCGTGACAATAATAAATTCCTATTACAAATATACTGAATTATTTATATTGTTATATTGACCAAATAATAATTTATTGGCCAAATGAATAATAATAATTTATATTGTTAATTTAAATAATAATTAAAATTGTTAATTTAATTTGAATGTTTGAAATATGACACACGATAGGGGCGCCTCTAGTGTCGGTTATCAAACGGTTATGGGACGGACGGACGGAAGGAAGGACGGACACCTGTTGAATGGGTTATATATATAAATTTGATTAAAACAAAAAGTCATTCCTGGGTGGGCTTGCAGTGAACTCTGCCTCCTTATTGGGGTCAGAGGATGGCTTGTGATTGTAAAGTGAGCGAAGTTTGTTCAGTTACCTACGGATACTAAAATGACACAACACTTCCCAAATCTTCTACCTGGAAAGAGAGGACATGGGGAAGACCATTGAAATCTTGAAACTATCTGAGTTATTTCCTTTAACATTTATAGGATCCTCAACCAAATAACTGGACTACCAAAAATGGTACAAAAACTCTGAGAGGAAATAGGAAATAATCTCTTTCTGAGGAACAGTAACTCTATATATATGCATATATGCCTAAATTGCTCTAGGGCAGGGATTGCGAACCTTTTTGTGTTTACGTGCCATATTGTAAGCATACTTAGCTTTAAAGATATTTATGTGTGCCAAAGTTTCAGACTTTGAATAACAATATTTAAAGAAATTAAATGAATATGCTTTAATTAGAATAAATGTAAAAAAGCTGATTGAAAAAAGGATGATCAGGTGATAAACGGAAAAGATGATTGAAAAAGACAGAAATTTTATGATACATTATGTGCCAGATGATTTGTCCTTACAGCCATAGGTTCACCACCCCTGCTCTAGGGAATAGTATCAAGCATACCCCTTTTGATGTATACAACAAATGAAATTTTAGACAGCCTGGCAATTCTAGTGTAACCATGTAAAAAGTAAAGCCAGAGAATTCTAGTGGTCAGAAGGATTAGTCAAAAACAAAAAAGGAAGTGATTCCCACATGACTTAAATATCATGTGGGAATCACTTCCTTTTTTGTTTTTGACTAGTTAAACTGCCAGGCATATGGACACATCAAATACAACTGTTGGAACAAAATGCAATCCATATAAAAGTAGCTATCTAAACTAAACTGTATACATAAACTGTGGAGGAAAGCATACAGCAACCTCTACAAGGTGTCCAAAATAGACAGCAGAAAAAGAAATCCCATACATACAAGTGATAGAATGAAGTAATTATACAGAAGTAAAGGCAGATATACCCCACTAAATCTATACAGAAAAACTCACACAGAAAATTTTACAGGAACTCAAACAGAAATCAACATATGTATTATGGAATACATCAAAACCTTACAGAGAAATATGGCACAAAAAGTACATCCACCATACAGTTGACAAAAATGGCTAGTTTCAGCAACAAAATTGAAAACACCATACACAAAATACTGGTTCTGCCATTCACAAAGACAACCATGCCCTTCAAAATGCTTGTGGAAGGGTGAAAATTTTTGTCTCATACCAAGTTCCAGTAAGAAAAATTTCTTTGACCACATCTCTCCAGGCAGTGGCAGTCCAAATTCACCATTAAGAATTAATAACAGTGAGTAATATCTGGCTCCCTCCAGTGGACACAAAAGAACAAAACAACTTAGAATAACCTCATAAGCTAACTCCCAAAACCCTGAATACTGCTGGGAGACCATAACAGCCACAGTTCAAGCTGGGATAAAAACTAGAGGACAAGCAGACCACAAGGACAAATTATCAAAATATTTATGGACACACACACACACACACTATTGAGTATGCAAACTTTGTTATTGAATTAAATTTTAATTTTTAAATATTGATATATTAATATTTATATTGTATACTAATTTTATTAAATAAAAATACTTTTCTAATCAGAATTTGCTTATGGAGGACATCCTTTTCCATTTTCTGGTATATTTGAAATATCTCCAAAAGATGCAGAAGATCTAGGAGAACATTTTAATTTCAAGTAAGTATATTGGAGGTGAAGGTAAAAATATTGAAGTTTTATATTAATAAAATAACTTTCAGACTTATTATTTAATAAATAATTTATAAATGAACATAAATTCATTTCAAATCAGAATAACACAATCAAATTTGATGATATAGTTGCTAAGTGTAATGTTAACACTGTAAGCAAAAAATATATAGTATTGAAAATATTTGTTGTTGTTACCAAGGAACTAGAATCAAGTGAAATAGCAATGTAATACCATAATAGAAATGTATCTCTAGCAGATTATGACAAGATTTTCTCTGTAGAGGAAAGATGTATGTGCAACATGATTATACTAATAGTTGAAATAAACATTGGTAATGCTGCTCTCTTTCTACTTTTTTCTGATCTGATTTATCTTAAGATAGGAGATATAAAAAATAGGGAAAGGATTGTTTATATTTTTAAACTATATACTATTTACTTGCATTTAAGATGAGGTTTTTATTCATTTTTCACTGCTTCAAAACCTAGGTCGTCCTATACATGCAAGCAAAGGATTCTTTGGATTTTTGTAAATAATAATTGTGAATTGTGTATTTGCATTTTTTACTGAATGCTCACCCTCTTGTGTTTAAAAACATAAGTACAGTAGAACCTCTATTATCCGGATTGTTCAAAATAAACAAAAATTTACGAATTTGCTGATTTTCACTTGGCAAATTACAACACTGTTTATGTACGTGATGGAATGTATAATTTTTTTTGTTTCAACAACGTCTCACCCAGCACAGTGGTCGTAAACTCTTGAATATATTTTATGTAGTAATAAAAATATAACTTGACATACGTATTTATAAATAATTTATATTCAAATTACATCATTTCTATGACCAAGGGCGGCGTAAGGCATGGACGACGTGGGCCACCGCCTATGCCTCGCGGTCCGAAGGGCCTCGCGCCTCGAAGGTTTATGCATTACTTAAAAGCCGCGAACGCGACGAAAAAATTTTACTCGTCATAAAACGATAAATAGTTTGTCAAATTTTTATTCATAAAAATGCAGTTTCAACTGCTTTTTATTTTATAAAATCCGTCTTCTTGCGCCACCAGAGGGCCTTTTAAACAATAGGTAGTCTGTTAGCGTTGGTCAGTAGTAGTCCAAATTCAATACGAACGTTTGTTTCTTGAAAATTTGATCACGATTTAAATACAGTATTTACTTTTAATATTACCGATATGTCATCGAAAAGAAAATGTGTTGTATTATCATTAAAAGACAAATTAAAGTATTTGTTTCGATTATCTGGATTTTTCCTTATCCGGACTACCTTCATCCCCAATTAGTCCGGATAATCGAGGTTCTGCTGTATTTTATCTGGGTCATTTGAATTGTTCTTGCGTATTGTCAGGAGTAAAGATAGAAAGCAATAGGAAAGGCAAAGCTTTTCAATTGAATTCCAAATTGAAATTCCAAAGTTATGCAGGAGCTCAATATAAGTTCTAATCCATTCCCACGTGAAAACAGATGATTATTTGGAAATCAGAGTTTGGAGAAACGTATAGTATAATTAATGGAGAGTGGATTCGACTGTTAAGAATTGGCAAAAAAGGTTCCTGATTGTTCAGCTTTACATCAAATTATGATCTCAATTTTACAAGATTTTTCCTTGAAGTTTAAAATGCCAGTAATTTTTGTGGGACAATATGTGCATTTGATATTTTATTTGTGATTAAACAAAATAAAATCAGAATTGTATTAATAAATCTAATTTTCTTTATTTTGATCTTTAAAGTCGCACCTTGTCCTATATACAAGATTGTCTTATATGCAAGTAAATATAGTAAATGATTTTTAAAAATTAAATTTGAAATGCAAAGAAATCTTTGAATGAATGTTATTTTTTCCAGTTAGAAAAAATAATGTTCAAAGATAAGTTTTTTACTTTAATTGCAAAAATTATCAATCAAAATGAAATAATATCACTTTTTATCCACAGTGTAAACTCGCTTTTAATAAAAAGTACTTTCATTTTTGACATGAAATGAAACACTTCATCAGTGTTCAGAACAAAAAAACGAGATTGAATGATTGTGTTCAGAAAACAATTTAAAATTTAAACAAGTAAAATGGCAAAGCCATTTTTGGAATGTGACTATCTCGCTATATGTGAATTTAAATTCAAACCTATGCAAAACTGAAATTCAAAATCAAAGATACTATTTGAAATATTCTTTCTACTGAATCTTAAAATTAAAATTTTTATAAAGAATACCTCTTAAATTTTAAATATGAAATCAAATTTTAAGAAAAAATGTTTTGTGATTATCTTTAAAATTTGAGATTTTACATTGCATTTGTTTATTATTTCAGTTTGTGATCAATGATTGCATAAACCTTGCACTTGTGCCTGTTTGTAGAAACAGTCTTGTCATTTTGTATTTTATTTTGATCTGGTTTTTGGTCCCCTGACTTACCTACAAGTCAGGTGTTTTTTTTTGTGTGTGCATGATTTGGGCACCAAATACTCTGTGCCAAATTGCAACTCCTAACATGTACTCCTTCATACCTCTAAGGTGTTTAGCCATTGACAGCATGTGATTTTCTAGATGAGACATAGTCTTGTCAAAAAAACATGTTTTTTTGACAAGAATGTTTTTTTCTGGTTTTACTGTCTTACAAAAAATGTTGGACAATGCTATATCTTTCTCTGATGAGAAATGACATAAAGCATATATGTCATTTCTCATCTAAAGCAAGACAAAGTAGAAACATTGCACACATTGTTTATTTTAATATATATGGCTTCTGTCATGAATAAATGTTTTTGATTTCTTGGACTGAGTAGTAGTCTAGTCTTGTCCCATATAGATTCATAATTATCTTCTATGGTTAGTGTGACCAGAGCTGCTGTTGTTTGGTATTTTACATCCCTTTTGGTGTTCTCTAATATCCTTAATTAGATTTCTTTCTGTTGCACTAATATAAAATAAGGTTCTGCTTCCTGGTTTTTCTAGACAGTCTAGTGGTATATACTGACACAAAATAATAAATTACAAATAGAATGAAGTAAAAAACTATCATAATAGGAATTAATAATACTTTCTATTAACTATGAATTTAGATTTAAATTGAATTTTACTAAGACAAAACATAAAAACTTTCAATTATTATTCCATATTATTATTTTAAATGTTTTTAAATATTGGTATAATAAACTTGTCTCTCTATACCCAAACAACCCCTTGTAATTTATTGACCTCCCAGATAAATCAGTTGACCTCTCAGGGATCACTAGCAATTAGAATAGGAACCCATAATGTATGTTATCTATGTTATCCTCCACATTTCATGCTCTAGAAGAAAAGATTGCCCAGAACGGAACTTAACTATTAATTAAATTATTAAAATAATTTACTAAAGCTAAATAATGCTTAAAAATACTGAAATGTCATTCTTGAAGATTCAATGTAATTTAATTTATATTAAGAAACATTTGACTTTGGCTTGTTTTATGCATGCTTATTTTAGAATTTACACTAAATTGTGTGTGTTTTTATATATTAACTATTATGATACATTTACTTTCAGACAGTCAATTATTGTGGGATATACAGATTTTACAGAAAGAGAAGTTCACAGAATTATTGATGAATTAGGAAAGGATTTTAGAGGAGATCGTTATCATTTAATGAACAAAAATTGTAATCATTTTTCAGGAGCATTAGCATTAGTAAGTAAAACCATATCTTGATTTTCTTTCATATTGTTTTTTTTTTTTTTTTTTTTTTTTAATTTATAAAATAGTAATAAAACATGAAATATGTAATGATTGATGAAAATTCTAAAACATTCTATTTTGTATAATTTCTAAATTTTCATTAAAATATATAATGTAATAATCCCATGTAAGAATATGCCAATTTAAATACATTAATCTGTTATAATTGATAAGTTTAGTAACTTGCACTGTAAGAATTTGTTATTGGTTTAGGTGTTTAAGAAACTCACTTGTAAAAATAAATAAGGTTCAGAATTATGTGATAGAATTCATGCATTTAATTTGTATGAATTTATTTATTCATTTTTTTAGTGTGTCATATAAGTTATACATTAAATATTTTCAAAAATGTATTATATTGAGTTGATTGAATGTATACCACTACCATATTTACTTGAATAATTCATGCCTTCAAATAAGTCAATGCATCCCAATTTTTAAGATCTACTAAAGAAAAAATACTAAAAAAGAAATAAATTAAACTGATCAAGATTTTTTTATTGCATATTAAATAAATTTCACTAACTTTTGATAGTAATACAAGAAACTGTCTGCAGTGTAGTGGGAAACCATAGATTTGGGAGTATCTGTATGAATGACTAATCATCATTATCATTTTCATATGAGCCATTAAGCATGTTTGAAATTCCACACTTCTGGAAGCTTTTTGCTGTTAACTCTGGTGAAATTTGTGCCCAGACTGTTAAGCCATTTGCAGATTTTCTCAATTTCTGGCCATCTTATCTTTCTCAAAGGTGTATACAAATGATCACTCTTTGCCATCCACTAAGTTTACTGATTCATCATAGCAGCCTTGAACAGATAATTAATGCAAACACCTGTGAGTTATACCATAAATGTTACACCTCCAAAGCAAGGCTGTACACAAAGGGAGGTTTTGGAGATCTAACCTCCCATTTGAGAAAAATCAAAAAATTAAATAATAATTAAGTTATTTTTATTATTTTATTCTTGTTTGGTTCTTTTTTAGACATCTTTAGTATTGTTTTACTCTATTAATTTTTATAATTTAGGTATATAAATTATATTTTGAAAAATAATTTTTTTAAACCCCATCTATTTTTTAAAAAAATACTGCACTTGGGCCTGCTCCAAGGATGATTACTTGATCAATTTTCTGGTGTATAGAGCTTTTTCATTTCTTTCATTGTGTCCACATACCATCACAAATCAGCATGCTGGTTGCATCATTCAGCATTGTTTCAGGTCAATTTTCTGGCTTTATTCTGGTTGATTGATTTGGGATAATATAATGCGGATAGGCATTATACTATTCCAAATCAATGTGATAAAAATGTAACCTATATAGTTGTTTGAATAATTTAAAATTAACATATATCTAGAAGATATTTCTATAATTTCTATAATACACTTAAATGTTAGTAACTATTAATATATTAAGTTGGTATGTAGGAAATATAGGTTTGTCTTCAACTTTTGTACAGATGATTCAAAATAAGACAGGGGAAAAAGCACTAAAATGATTTAATAGAGATAAAAATATTTGAAAATACAGTCATTACTATGGAAACTGGTAGTGTTTTGTTTGTTTATTTGTTTAGTTTTTGTTACAATGCAAATTTCTATATTAACAGTGTTCATTTCCAGAAGCCTTCCTGAAGATGAATTGTTGAATTCAAATGTACTCAAAATAGCTTTCTGGATGTTTATTTAAATGCTTTTAACTCCATTAAAGCATTTTAGTATATATATATATATATCTATGTGTGTGTGTGTATGTGTTATGGACTAAGTGATTGTGATTTTGAATATGGGCATTATAAACAATGCCCAGTCATTATGAATAATGACAAACAACATTGGGCATTGTAATAAATTTCATGTTCTTTATCGTATTTTATCACGTTGACTGGTGAATATGAATACTGCTAATATCTGTCAAGCAAAGTGATGATAATGGTACTTTGAAGAGTGATCATCCAACAAAATAATAATTTTTTTTTACATTACATACCAAAATGACATTCCAAAAGTTTCTTTTAAGTTGATTTTTATGACAAAATTATATAATTTTGTTAATAATATAATACTTTTTATTAATATTAATTTGATTAGCACAGTTAATAATACTTACTTTTAAAAAATATTCCAGTTTAAGTGAAATTTTCACAAATTATTTGGTTGAATGCTATGTGCAAAGTAATTGCCAATTAATTTATTTTAATAATGATTCTATTTATTATATAGTGTATGTTAATTAATAAAGAGTTTAATGTAGTAAATATAACTATACAGTGATACTTTGGTTTTCATCGATTTCAGAAAACAAGCAGTGAAATCTGAAACCAAGACAATTATTTTCATATGAATCAATGTAAATCCAATTAATTTGTTCTAGACATTCCAAAATACATACCAAAAACACATTTTCTAGAGAATAAATATAGTATTTAATACTAAAAATAATAAGAAATTAATATAAAATGAATATAAGAGACTAATCCTAAAGAGTAAATGAACATTTAACGTGGCATTCGAAGGGCTGCTGGTTCTGGAAACTTTTTTTAGTCCCATGATGGAACTAAAATGAAAGGAAAGCAATGGAATTGTTTGGCTAGATGTGCGGGATAGTATTCACACAACAAGAAACAATGTCACATTGAGCAGGAAAATGCATGGGTTTCCCTTTGTTTTTTTTTTTTTTGCAAAATTAGCAGTGAGGTCATGTGGGCACACCAATATAAACCAAGACAAATTTTTTGTGAAAAAAATTGATGAAAACCGAACCTGATGATAACCAAAGTTGAAAACTGAGGTATTACTGTATTAATATTAACTATATGAGCAAGTTTTTCTTAAAATACTTTGAAGTAATTCCCAAAAATAAATAAAATCAAATTGCCCAAAGGGAATGTAACTGTATGCATAATGTCTGGTCACTTTAATAAATTAATCAATATTTATCAGGCTTCACATTTTAGTCATTATTCATAATGGCCAGGCATTAATCATTTTGCCCATAACATATACTGGTATTTTTTTTTTTGTGTGTTTATGTATGTGTGCATGTTGTGTTATATACATACATACTTTTATATTTTTTGTTTATATTTTTGGAGTTTCTGAATGATTCAAAATAAGCCTTTTGAACTATCTAGAATAAGTATAAGTTACTAAGATAAACGACTTCCAACAACTTAACACTACGTTGAATAATAACAACCCACGAAAAAACCTTTTTTTACGAGTGTTATGTCACTAGTAAATTCCACAAGTACTTTCGACCTCCACCGAGGTCTGCTTCAGGTGGTGACTGGCCGTGTTTCGACCCGACCGTCGTAACGCTGTTGCCAACGATGTAAATAAACGTTAATAAACGATGTAAATAACGTTAATAAACGATGTAAATAAACGTTAATAAACGATGTAAATAAACGTTTATTTATTTACATCGTTGGCAACAGCGTTACGACGGTCGGGTCGAAACACGGCCAGTCACCACCTGAAGCAGACCTCGGTGGAGGTTGAAAGTACTTGTGGAATTTACTAGTGACATAACACTCGTAAAAAAAGGTTTTTTCGTGGGTTGTTAAGTATAAGTTTTATTTTATTAATATTTTGTTTTATTAGATAAATATTTCATTTTATTGTTAAAAAAAGAACATAATTATTTGACTTATTTATAACATCTTTTACTTTCTGGGCTGTTTTGTATACATAACAAGGGAAAGTATTGAAATTATGTCAAATTTTGACCCTCTGAGTTTTTTGAAAATCTTCATGTTTTGAGATGACCTGAATCCAAAAAGTAAAAAAAAAAAAAGAAGCAAAAATATTCTTTGTGTGTGCGTGTGTTGGCATCTATTTTGCTTAATATCTCAGGATGGGATAAAGATTAAGTACCAAAATTTGTCAAAGGTCAAGGGGATGGGGAGATAAAGGGAGTCGTATGTATCTCCAATAGGGTCAGACTTAATGATAATTTTGTTTATTATTAACATTTACATTTTATCAAACTCATCCCTACCCTCAAAATTAAGCTTTTTGACATTTTATAGTAATTAAAAATATAAAGTATTTTCTAACTATATCTCATAACAGATGCACCACACAATTTTATTAAGTTATATTGTAATTAAAATTAAAAAAATTCTTTTCTAAATAAGATCTCATAATAGCCAGGAAAGTTATGCAACTTGTTGCTGGATTTTTGTAAAATGAAATAATTTAAAATTATTGTCCTATTAAATTGTAAGATTGTAATTCTACCTTTATAATTAATTTTTATATAGCTTAAAAATATGATAGTCATTAAAATCAGGCTATTACAAAGTTGAATTTAATTATTAATTATAAGGTGTAGACTTATTTTTGCTTTCTATCTATATTGATGATGATAACTTATTGTTATTTTGTGTATAATGTGACATTAGTGTTTAATAATAGTTAGCAATATGAATTATGGTTGTATATATTTTAAATTTGTTTTTACAAGAAGTCTGTAATAAATATTTGCAAAATATTTTTATCTTTTATTACTTCTAATTTTATTATTGAAAGTAATTTGTAATATTGAATGTTTAAGTTTGTGATGTTTAGTGATCTCTTATAAATTCCATTTGTCAGATTAATCAGATTATATATTGTAAATTTACATCAGTTATATCATAATTTTATTATTTATGATGATTATCATCTCAATGTTTTCTTTAATTAATTTAAAGGTTATGAATTTTTCTTTCTTAGTAACATAAATTTTTATTTTATTTAGATATTATGTGGCAAAGATATTCCGTCCTGGGTTAATCGTTTGGCTTATTTTAGTTCTTGTGTTCCATTTCTTCAACGTTGCCTTCCTCAAGAATGGCTTACTCCAGTTGCTCTTCAGGCTTCAATTCGGGAATGTATGGAATCACCACAAGAAGAAAGTCAACTTTGACAATTATAAAACTACAAGAATATTTTAAAACTTATTGCCAAATTAACACATTGTTAAAACTCAAGATAAAATAAGAATTGTGTTATTTATAATTATTTAGAAGAAAATTAACTTGGTGCTCAAAAATTTAAGAAGAAAAGGAAAAAAATTGAAAGTTATTCTTCATACAAACATGATGCATTTTTGATGTCTTTTCAATTCTTCTAAAATCAAAATATTTATATTCTCAGAGAAATTTTTTTTATAGATTAGAATGTTTTATTCTACTTTTATATTAAATATTATGTATTATAATAATAATAATATAAATTTACATTATACTCTTTTTTAATTTATAAGGTTTAGTAAAAAATGAAAGATCTATTCAAGCTATCTAAAAATATGCAAATATGTAAATATGTTTTTAAATAAACTATACAGAAAACAAATCATAAATTTTGGTAGCAAACTTTATCGAAATATAGAAATCATCATATAGTTTAAATTATGTATATAATAGTACGACAACAGAATCTTGATTTTTGGCAAATAATATTGTGCAAAATCTAAATATTTTTTTAATATGATTTTATTATTTAGCAGCATAAATCACAAATTATTCAAAATTCCTATTATATATTTAACAATAAGACTCAATTAGATTCATATTTTCATTTTGTTCATTTACAGTTAAGCATAATCTATTATGAAATAAGCAAGAAATTTTTCTTCTTGCATTAACAAGTGAATCAATATTATAATCTATACATCATAATGCAAACTATGATTGTTAATTTCATTAATCCTTATCTTATTAATACTTTACTTGATCCATAATAAATGATGATTAAATCTCATTAGAACTTATTAAAGTTTGTAACTTTCATAAATGAGTTCCCATGATAATTATAACTTTAAGCAGTTTTTCATCATGTGAAAAATTAAAAATAGATATCATGATTGTGATAGATAAACTCTTACTATAAAATAATATAAAAACCCAAACATTTAATTAATAATCATACCTACCCATTAATCAAGATTCTGTTATGAATATTTACAACATTATACATAGTATCATATATTTTGTTGGTACATCTTATCATATTACGTATAGAATGTACAGTACATAAATATTCATAACCCATTTAACACTAAACAAGTGTGACAATGTACAGTACAATGTGTATATATGCAAACATACATGTATACATATATCAAATATGATTGCAAATCAATCCTTAATATAAAATTTTGTCTTCTGTACTATACAATTTTAAAAATATCTGTAAAAAGTTTTAAGTGATAACATTATTATAATTATGTATTTATTTCATTTTACATTCTGTTATTAAAAATATACTGATTTGAGAATATTTTATAAAAATATTTAAAATTACTGTTTCTTAAATGCCTTGATTATCTAGCAATAAATGAGTTATTACTTTAATTGTGAAAATTCATTTAATTAGAAATATACAATTACAATTAAAAATAACTTTTTAATTTCTAGTTTTAGAATTAAAACAACAAAAATACTTTTTAACATGAATTTAATTAACTTAGGTCATGTTTTAAATTGATAATGAAGTTTTATTCAATTTTCAAGTTAAATTTATAAATATAATTAGTGTATATAATATAATATAATACATATTTATGTGTGTGTGTGTGTGTGTGTGTGTGTTTATTTTTTAATATTTAACACACTGCTAACTGAAGAAATCATGCCTTTGTTTATGGTTGGAGTTATTTTCAACACACTTGTATTGATACTTAATGCATATTTAAGTAAAGATAAGTAAAAAATAACTGATAAGTGTAAGTTTGATAAACCTGTGGAAGTTTCTTCTGAGCATCATTTGCATTGACTTCTTTCCAAGTAGTGCTTGAGAAGTTGCAATATGAAGTTTTGGTATTTGAAGTTTTCAGAAGTTAATTATACAAAACCCAGGCATATATTGCTGCCATATTCAGTACATTGAAGAAGAAAACACGATTTTGTCTGCTACCTTGATTATGTCTTGACAGTATTTGCAAGGCAAGGTCAAACATGTCAATATCAAATTTTGTAAAGTTACAGACCAGAACTGCCTCTTGTCCAATTGAAAGTGTATGTGCAACAACCAATGTGGCTGTAGATGCACAGTACCAGTACTTCCTCTTTCATGTTTTTTTTTCTCTAAATCATTTAGCACTGACTAGTACTGTCCAGAGAACTGATAGCTGGGTCAGTGGTAGCAGGAACTCAGTCACATCTCCATCTGGCTTTGAATCACTACTTAATTCTGGTCTTTTCTCAGGAACATACTCGTTTCCATTGCACTAGATGCAGGGTACGAAAAGCATGTAGGTGCAGAAATGGAGAGAGATTCGCAATTTTTTCTTTGAAAACTCAACTAAAAAGTACTTTTAACGGTATTTAGAGAAATCATTTCCACTACTAAACAACTTATTGTTTTTAACTAAGAGGACTTTATATATCCATAGTAGATTCGGTTAGACTTAGAATGAAGGTACTCAGGTGAGGACACGGGCGTGGCATAATTTTTTCTTTGTACTCTCTCTGCCCATTGGGCACTAAAATGACGTTTTAATCAAGCCGTTGTGGGCTCTGCATAGCCACACTGGGGCAGCAGGGAGTTGACCTCTGCGTCTCCTTGGTGCTTAACTGGGTCATGGGCCACAGTGGTGTGAAAGGCAATGTTCAAGCCGATCTGCTGGCGAAGAAAGCAATCACGAACCTCAACAAGTGTGTTTACAATAAAATCCCATACTGTTGGATCGCGAGGCAGTTTCACTCCTATATTATTGACCGTTGGAACAACAAGTGGGCCAGCAGCTCTACTGGAAGGATGGTGTTTCGGTTCCTCCCATCTATCAGGAAGAGGTTGAATTACAGTCATCTGACCCCCACGTATGAGCTCACTCAGCTCATCACCGGACACGGTAATATGGGGAGTTACCTTGCACGCTTCCTTATAAAAGGGAATGGCCTCTGCTCGTGCCCCTCCTCACCATGGCAGGATAGTGACCACATTCTGTTTGACTGCCCGAATTTTGACCAAGAAAGAAGGCTAATCTCTGCCGCCCAGGAAGAAAACATCCCCTGGCCATGCAACCCAGACCAATTTATGGCCAACAAGTGCCTCTACAATGCGTTGTGTAAGTTCACTAAAGACATTAAAATCTTATCCTGAGTAAGGGCCACCTTTCTGTTCTTTTGGCCCCATCGGTTTTGATTTGTAATCAGTCTCGGTCCTGTTCCTCCTACGTGGAGGGCCGTACTTTCTGTAAACTACTTCTCAACCCGCCAATTGGGTTCCGGTACCTGCTTTGTATGCCGCAAGGGTCTGGCACTCACGGTCTCTCTGGCAAATTATGTATAGGTTAATAATTTTACTGTGTCGGGACAAATTTCTGTTATCTGTCACTGTAGACAAATTTGTAACACCTTGTTTATTCCTTTTAATAATTGACCCCGGTGCTAGTCTTTATGGGATCCCTCCCTTCCTCCTCCCTTCAAACACTTTATCCCACCCCTCTCTCTCCATACCCTTCCTTCTCCCTTCAAACACTTTATCCCACCCCTCTCTCTCCATACCCTTCCTCCCCCCTCTTTAGGCTATGCCAAAGGCTCGGCCATATCTATCTTCACAATATCTTCACAGCAGGGTGGTGAGGGAGTTACAAGGCATATCATTTACAAACCACATCTCAAAAATCTTTAATGTTTTTCGATTATCCTATGTCTCCCAGAGCGGTGAGTTGACAGATCTGGCATATCTGGGTTAACGCAACCAGAGCCGGCCCTACCATAAGGCGAACGGAGCAGTCGCTCCAGGCGCTAAGTCCTATCGGGCGACTCAGTGGTAAAGAAAATTAAAGGAAAAAATATTGTTTTTACTTTTTGATATTTTAATTGTACGCATGTGGCCAGTATGTTAATTGCCTTATCTGTTGAGACGCGCGTGGGTCGAGTGCGTGGGCGGGGTTCCACCCCNTTTCAGATTAATGGTAAGAGTACAGTATTCTTCTCATCTAAATCTAGATTGTTTTGTTAGCCTAGATTTCAGATTTAGGCAATTAGATAAGTGATATAAATCTAGATTGTTTCATCTCGAATTTAGCTATTTTCTAGATTTTATTTAATTATTATAAATAAGGTAAGATGAGAGTTTAAAGTGGTAAGTGTAGCCCTTAACCCTCAAGATAACAATATTTTTATAGTCTAAGTACGAGCAGGTCCGGCGCGAGGCAGGTTCAGCGTGTTCGCCGGAACCCGGCCACGCATTTTGAAAGGCCCCGAAGTGTACTAAAACTCATCAAACATTTTTCAGGACCCCCTGTATAGTAGATTGAATATTCGAGTGTGTGTGAAAAATGCAATAGTATAATCCACTAATCGATGACAACTTGCTGCACACTGACACGAGTGCAAGATTTTCTCTCATGTCTTTGCATTGAAATTTAACCTTTTTTTCATTGTAGACATCACGTTGTAGACAACAACCTTAGACACTGAAGCCGTGAGCCTGAAGAGGGATTGGAAAATTCCCAATCCGAAATGCATTGTTAAATAGGCGAAATAAAGTGAACTGTTTTAATCTTGGTCTCTGTTAATTGTGGATAATTAATTAAGAAAGACGTGATAAATATCACTAGTTTTAATATTGGAAGAAGAAACCTTTACTTATAACTTTTTATAATTTTAATTGTTATCGAGTGGCAAAAAGCTTAATTTTGAGGATAGTGATGAGTTTTATAAAAAAAAAAAACTCTGAGGACCAAATTTGACACGATTCTAATGCTTTCCCTTACAATTTTATTAAGTAGAATAGACTATAATTAAACTAAAGAAAAATGGTTTCCTCTGTAGTTATATTTTTTATAATAAATAGAATAAAACAAGACCATTTCTAAAAATGATGTACAGTACTTCTTATAAACATTTTTGTCTTACTTTAGATACTTTTAGAAATAAATGAAACTTTTCTAAATAGACCGGATAAACTAATTGCTTTATAATTAAGTATTAACACTATTAAATTTAAACACATGTGTTAATTAATTTTCAAGTTTATTTCTGGACTAACATATCTAAAAGACAAAATAGGAACGAGAAGTATATTGTTAATACTGTAATTTTTCAGCTTTAACACCTGTTCTGAAATCGTGACTTGTCTATCTTGTGGTATTCTGAACTCACGAACTTAACAATATTTTTTCTCATTCCGAAAACGCTCTGATATACAATTAAAATCTAAAATTC